CCCCCGCCCCGGCCCGGCGATGCTGCACAATGGCTCGGCCTCGAGAAAGCACCGACCGGGGGATGCTCAGCCTGGGACTGGCCTGGGACTGGATCCCCGCCCGGGAAAGCTCTGGGATCTGGCACCGGGCAGGCTGGGGCTGGCGAGCTGTCCTCAATCTGCGCTCGTCTGCAAATCCCAGCGGAGTCTCCAGGAGAGAGCGATGCCTCCCGCACACTCTGCCTGGCTGCTCCTCGAGGGTCCCCAGCACCGGGAAGTTGGGGGACGGTGCCGGGCCCTTGGCTGCCTGCACCGGTGGAGGGGAGCGCGGCCGCTCCAGCTCCGGGACGTTTGGCTTCCCCGCAGAGATGAGGGGGCTGTGCAGCCGAGGGACCTCGGTAAGGAGTCTGGCCGCTGCCTTCTTGCCTGCCAGCGGCATCCCCTCCTCCTCCCACTGCGGGACGGCTCCGTTTATGCTTTGAGAGAGACGAGACCTTGCTGGCTGCTAGAGGGAACCTCCAAGTCTCTCCTGCTGCAGGGGCACAGCCCTGAGACGGGCTGCTCGGGGGCTGCGGGGCTGAGGCTGGAGGGTACCCGGGTGCAGATGGAGACTTTCCGGACATGCCAGGAGACACACGGCATTTCCTTCCCCCTGTGGGTGCAAACTCCCCTCCTGCTCCTCCGCTGCCGGCCGGGTCCCCATGCTCCGAGGAGCCCGTTTCCACCCACAGCTCCGGTTCGGCTTCGGGGGACGGCGGTTCAGACACCCACTCGGTGAGCACAATCTGCGGGAGGGAGAAAGCCCTGCTCCCCGGGGCTGCCAGGGCCAACGGCTCCTAGGTAGAGAATTCAAACAGATTAAGGGCCGGGGGAGAGCAGTGGGAGGAGGCGGGGAGCTGCTGGGGAGTGCTGCGTGTCCACACGCACTACCTGGGACCCCCATGGCTGGTGCCCACGGGCACTGTAGTGCTGCAGGGGGTGTTGGGCAAGGAGGGGGGATGCTCGGCTCCCTCCTGCCCAGCCCTGACATCCCGTCGGTACCCACAGCACAGACAGAAACTGGTTTTCTACTGTGCTTAATGCAACCTGGGTCTGGGAGATTTTGGCAATAACTTGCCTGGAGTTTTTAAGAAAAAAAAAAAATCAGTCGGTGTTGTCTGAATGCGTTTGGGAACTCGATTGCCACCACCCAGCTGGGGTTTCTCCCACGCTGGTAGAAACTGGCACGGCACTGGTGCGAGAGCAGAGCCCGGCCCTCGCGAGCTGCTCGGCCCCGCAGGACACTGCTGCTCCCAGCAGAGCTGAAGGCAGGGGCTGAGCCATCGCAAAGGGGCTGCCAGGGGGCATCAGGCCTTTAAAACCCTGAGCAGCAAGAAGTCACCTAAAAAAATGCTGTCCTGCCTCCCCCACCTCTCTGTTCCTGTCCCAGGGGAGATGGGACCAGCTGCGCAATGCCCGGGGCACCAGAGCGGTGCCCTCCGCCCAGGTGAGGGAATCACAGAATCCCAGAATCATTCCGGTTGGAAAAGACCCTCAGGATCATCGAGTCCAACCCTCAGCCCGACTCTACATGTCCTCCCCTACCCCACATCCCCCCACAGCTCACCCCAAGGACCCTTAAACACCCCCAGGGGTGGTGACTCCACCCCCTCCCTGCGCAGCCTGTTCCACTCTCTGACCACTTTTTCTGTGAATTTTTTTTTTTCCTAATGTCCAATCTAAACCTCCGTTGTTGGAGTTTAAAGCCGCTCTCCTAGGAAGGCGAGAGGGAGATTCTCTGGCCGAAGAGGTGCCCCCCTTCAGCTGCAGCCATGGGGCCTCTGCCCCACAGCGCAGCCCTGCCCTGGCCGGGGGGTTTCCACCTCACGGGGGCACCGGCAGAGCGGGGGAACACGGCGGTTACACCACGCTGCCAGGTGCCACGGGACAGGCAGTGGGGACACATCACCTGCTTCCCTGCGGCTCACTCATGTCCCAGCCCTGGGGGTCCGAACAGAGCCCGGGGCAGAGGGGGAAGGAGACACAGGGGCCGGGATGGCTACAGAGCCCCGGGGCCGGAGCTGGACCCAGCCGAGCACCGGGAGAGGGACCCTCGCCCACAGGGACAGGAGATGCTGCTCCGGGGAAGCCACGGTCGATTTTGCCCTGGTGCTGGGTCTCTCAGGAGAGGGGGGGACCCCCGCGATGCACCCAGACTCCCCCACCCCAGCAGCTGAGCTGCCCTGGATGAGGCTTTCCTGCACCCTCTGTCCTGCTCTTTGCCCCCTTGTTCCCCCCAGCCTGGGCATCATCCCCTGCTCCATCCCACCCACCCTCCAGACACCTTCCTTTCCTCCTGCTCTCTCCACCCCAGAGCCAGGAGGGCCAGGAGGGAGCGGGGCTG